AAATCCCACTGAATGCCTATCAATAGATTCATCATTCAATTCATTCATTATCATTCAATCATTCAATGGATCTTTCTATCTAAATCAGTGGTGGTATTCAGCAGGTTCCGACCAGTTCTGGAGAACCTGTAGCGGAAATTTTGAATAGTTCAGAGAACTGGTAAATACCACCTCTGACTGGCCCCGCCCACATCTATTCTCTGCCTCCTGAGTCCCAGCTGATCAATGGAAATGGGGATTTTGCAGTAACCTTCCCCTGGAGTGGGGAGAGAATGGAGATTTTACAGTATTCTTCCCCTGCCATGTCCACCAAGCCACGCCCACAGTAAAAAAAAATTGAATCCCACCACTCATCTAAATGCCCTCAGATGGAAGAAACAAGGGAAATTCAAGAAGTTTTTTTCTAAATGCAGAATATGACTGAGGGTAATACTGCTAGAAAAATGCATAAAGCAATTTGTTCTTTTTTAAAAAAATAAGTAAAGTATACTTTAAAGTATTCCTATAGGAAACAATTGTGCATAGCATAATATCATAATAAATTGTGGTCAATGTTTAAATAAGTAAATAAGTAGATAAATAAATACCTCTCCAAAATTATGGCTTATTGATATGGATAGGAAAAGGCAATGGATTTCTCTTGATCGATATAGCAATAGGACTTAGACTTATATACTGCTTCATAGTACTATACAGCACTCTCTAATAGGTTTACAGAATCAGCCTATTGCTCCCAACAATCTGGGTCCCCATTTTACCCACCTTAGAAGGATGGAAAGCTAAGTCAACCTTGAGCCAGTGAGAATTGAACTGCTGCCAATGAGCATAATTAGCCTGCAATACTGCATTCTAACCACTGGGATGTGAGGGGTCTGTAGATATTTTCACAGCCCTCTTTTTGACTCGTGCAGTATACAAATCCTGAATGGAAGGCAGGCTGGTAGCAATTGTTTTTTCTGCAGTTCTAATTATCCCTTGGAATCTGTGTCTGCCTTGTTTGGTTGCAGAGCCAAACCAGACAGTTATAGAGGTGCAGATGACAGACTCAATAATTCTTCTGTAGAACAGAATCAGCAGCTCCTTGGGCAGTTTGAGTTTTCTGAGTTGGTGCAGAAAGAACATTCTTTACAACAGTCACTTTACAACCTTGTCACTACATGATAAGGTTGTAAAGTGAATATTCATGTGACTATACCTGACTTACAACAGCAGTTTGTAAGTTCAATTTATGATTGGTAAATGAATCACCTCAGGTCATTAAGAAGACGCTACAGAACTCTGACTTGTGACTTTCTGTTTGCTTCCTCATCGACTTTGCTTGTTGGAAGCTGGCTGCGAAGTTCACAAAAAGTGAGCATGTGACTATGAGATGTTGTAACCAGTGTACCAGCTGCCAAGCTCTTGAGTTGCTATCTATCACTCTGGGGATGCTTTAATGGCTACGATTCTGAGGACTGGTTGTAAGTCTGTTTATTCAGCGTGCTCCTAAATTTGAACAGTCATTGAACAAAGTTGGTAAGCGGCAACTACCTGTACTTCACTTCTCAACAATTAAACAAAACAAAGCAAACTTGCCAGATGTAGAACTAATTTTAGATATTATACCTTTACTACTTGGCTTTTGCAAACCAAGGTTTCTTCTCATTCAAATTGCTACATTGTATCTGTGTAATTGATGATTACATCAGTTGTAATCACCTGTGACTATGACATGTCACATCAATTACCAGGATGTACTTTTAAGTTATAGATTTTTTCACGATTTGGGTACTATATGAGTCAGAAACATCTTAATTGGTAGGCCTAATTGAAGCAGTGCTAAGCCTTCTGGAAAGCCATATTTTTAAAACACCTTATGTATAATTGATGTGTAGTCATCCTTCAAATTTTCAATCTACAAATGGGCCATAGTTTGATTTAGATATGTTCACCATTTGTTCATAGCTATTGCTATGGAAATACGCTGATACCAGTTTATAAATTTTATTGCTGTATCCTTTCAATGAACTCTTATTGAATTCACCAAATACTCTTCCAAGTAAGCATTCTAGATGGCAGGTTTAAATCATTGCAAGAATATCACATTATACAATGCATAACTAATATTATTAGCCAACAGTATATGCTATTATGCTATTAAGATGAGGTAATTCATTTGTTGGTAGCTTGATGCAGTGGCCTAGAGATGGAGCTCTTGCCTCATAATCAGAAGGCTGTGAGTTTGATCCTAGGTAGAGGCAGATATTTCTTTCTTTGGGTAGACTGAGAATATATCTGCTGAAAAAAAACCTCCACATTGGCAACAGGAAGGGCATACAGCCAGTAAACACTCCGCTCCATTCAGTTCTCCAGAGTCCACCTGCAAGGGATTCTCGGGTGGTTAAAAAAATGATGAATTTTATTTGTTGGTGACTGCATACAGGATATGTAGAGCGGTGAAGTAATTAAGAAGCAGAAAAAAATTCCTAGTATGTTCAGCCTGACATACGTAGAAAATCTATTTGATCCTCTTACACAACTGGCATAACAAGGAAGGCAAGTGGATTGAGATGATCAATGAAAATTATAGGGACAAGCAGCAAAGCCGATTAGGTAGAGACAGAGATCATATGAATAGTGAACAGAAAATATACACTCTACATTGGCAAAAGAAAATTGACTAAGTAGTGGCTTGAACTCAAAGATTAATATTTTTCTCCATCTATATAAATAACTTAGTACACATTATTAGTACCTCTAGCAGTAAATTTGTATATCTCCCTGGGAGATTTCTGGAAAACTTGAAATATAAAAAAGTATTTTGTGCCATTTTGGTTGGCCCTAGAGAGATTTTGGAAGTTTTTCAATGAGGCTGTGCAGGTTTACTAGAAAGTGATTCCTATGATGTTCAATGGATATTTTCTAAGCATGCAAGAGTTGCAGCCATTATGAAGACTTCTAACAGGTACTCAACATTAAATCAGGTGAGTTTATTATTAAATAAATGGACATTCTTGTATATGCAATCTGACTTTCTGACTGCTTTGTGCTATTGTAATATTCAACTGTCAAATCAAATCAGTCTTGAGCATTCTGTGTGCCTGCCTTTTAAAAATCTACTGGACACTTGTTGATAGAGATAAAATGTTCTTACTGTATTTTTGGGGGTATAAGACGCACCTTTTTTCTCAAAAAAGAGGCTGAAAATCTGGGTGCATCTTATACACCAAATACAGCATTTTTTGCCTCCTGAAGCCCTGCCCCTTCACTAAAATGGCTGTGCATACCCTTAGGGAGACTTTCAGAGAGCTCCTGGGGGCTGGGGAGGGCAGAAAGAAGCAAAAAACGGGCCATTTCTGTCCCCCCAGCCCCCAGCAGCACTCTATAAAACTCCATAAGGCTATGCATATAATTTTTTTTGACAAAAAATGTTAGCCAAAATTGGGTCGGTTTTTTTGCTCGTTTTTGGCTCCCTGCCCCCCAAGGCTATTCATGTCTTAAAAAAAACAAAAAAAACCAGGCCCATTTTCATGAAAAACGGGCCGTTTTGGGGAGGTTTGCAGAGTGCAAAAACTTTTTTTCCCCTTTTGGAAAGCTCTTTAACTGATTGATGAGAATTACATTGATCAAGTGCTGTGCCAGCAGAAACACCTACCTATCTACTATATTTCTCTCTATATATATATTTCTCTCTATCTATCCCCCTACCTACCTATCTAGTCTCTCTCTCTCTCTCTCCCCCTTTATCTACCTATCTACCTACTCTCTCTCTCTCCCCCACCTATCTACTGTATCTCTCTCTCTATTTCTCTATCTCTATCCTCTACCTACCTACCTACCTACCTACCTACCTACCTACCTACCTACCTACCTACCTACCTACCTACCTACTTTCTCTCCCTCTCCCCCCTCTCTCTCCCTACCTATCTACTGTATTTCTCTCTCTATTTCTGTATCTCTATCCCTCTATCTACCTACCTACTTTCTCTCCCTCTCCCTCTCCCTCTCTCTCCCTACCTATCTACTGTATTTCTCTCTCTATTTCTCTATCACTATCCCTCTACCTACCTACCTACCTACCTACCTACCTACCTACCTACCTACCTACCTACTTTCTCTCCCTCTCCCTTTATCTACCTACCTACCTACCTACCTACCTACCTACCTACCTACCTACCTACTCTCTCTCTCTCCCTACCTACTATATTTCTCTCTCTTTCTCTCCCTCTCTATCCCTCTATCTACCTACCTACTTTTTTTAAATTTGCCTCTTCAGAACCTTGGTGCGTCTTATACTCCGGTGCGTCTTATATTCCGAAAAATATGGTAATTACTCTTAGTATTAGGAAACACATTTATTGCTGTCGATATGCAGAAGGTTCTACTAGTTATGATGTTCTTATGATGTAGGTTTGCTTGTGCATGCAGAACATAGTTTACACTTTTAGTGAAATACTAAAACAAAACTGATAGAAGTGGTCCAATTATGTAGGAATAGATAACATTGTGACTAATAACGAGGAAAGAGGCCACCAAAACACATAAACACAACTCATTAACTAACTGTATTAATTAGGGTAGAAGAATTGTAAGCAGTGACATTTTATATTGTCCCAGTCAATGCCTGTGGATTGGGCTTTAACAACTTTCCTGACTAACTTTAATTCATCTAATTACCTTATCTCTCATACAGATTTTCTCTATTAAACTGGAATGAATTTAAATGTATACATAGACAGGATCAGATCCAAAGTGGCTTAAACCTTTTCTTGCCTTTGATGCAATGTTAGTGCCATTAATGTACTGAGATATAATATAGGAAAGCCTCCAGTAAATAGAAATAATGCCTTTTGTGGTAAATTTACTGATATACGTGCCATGATGTAAAAATGAAAGATTAGAAGATTAATCTGAGCAAAGGGTCCTGTTTAATATGCTTGCAATAAGAAACCTCCCTAGGCGATAAAGTATTTCTAAGGCAAGAGATATTTGGAAAGTTAAAGCAAAGCGGAAAAACTTACTTTTCTGACATCTTCCTCCAACATAACCTTCCATACAGGAGCAGAGGTTGTTTCTCATACATAGCCCTTTGTTCTTACAAGGAGGATTGCAGAATGCTAATTACAATGCAAACAAATAAACCAAGGTTATTGGTAATAGGACAGAAATTGCAAAATAGACCTCAGCAGTCTAATGCTATAGCACAGGGCCTTGGTAGTACCATGCCCATGATGATATTTAGGATTACAGATTACTGATAGAATCTGATTTCTCAAGGAAGCCCTCCCATCAGAGGATTTTCATTATTCTAGCATAGCTGTATATAGGAAGAAAAGCGAGAATGCGGGTTGTTTTCTTTCAATTCAGTTGACTCTATGACCTCAGCCACCATACCTTATGGGGTATTGTGCCAATTATGCAATTATTATTATTATTATTATTATTATTATTATTATTATTATTATTATTATTATTATTATTATTATTATTA